CTCAAGGCTACACAGGCTGCCTTGTGGGATGGACCCCTTGCTTGTGGTTGTGCCATCTCGTAAACCTATCCAGCCACACAATAATTCGTGGTGTTTAAAACTTTTAAGTGACCACATTCATACAAACATGCTTTAAAATGCAAGAAAAAGAATCAGTGCCACAACAGCAAAGTTTCATCTGAATTAAGTCACCTTTGCCAGAAAAGAGGCTACCCAAAGCTTCTTTAGAAGAGGGTGTTATAGCCTGGGAGGAGCCACTGAGAAGACCCTCTCTTGAGTCCTCAACAAACATGCCTGTCAGCACGGTGGTGGTGCATATGTACGTGTGGACACGGACAAGACCCTCTCTTGAGTCCTCAACAAACATGTCTGTCAGCATGGTGGTGGTGCATATATGCGTGTGGGCACTATGTTGCATAAGCCTTGCCTGAAGGTGATAGGAGCCAACCAAGCACATAGCCTTGCCTGAAGATGATAGGAGCCAACCAAGCTCATACCTGGATATATGGTCCTTCAGATAGCCTGGACTCATATCCTCTTGATAAGGCAGACCTTTGCTAATTGATTTCCTAACACTGGATTCTCATTGGCCATTATTAAGTTTTTCCTACTTTTATTTAGTGTTTTTTTAATTTGCATGTAAATATTTGTTAATATTTGCTTTATGCTGGTTAGCTGAGGAATGATGGTGTATAAAATAAAGAAATAAAATGACTCTGGAGCTTCAGACCCCCTGCTTCCACTGCCTCACATTGAGGTTAGCCATAGAGAGTACTTTAATGAAATATCATTTAAAATTTAAAATAAAATGGGCTAAATCCTATGCTAGTCCTATGTGTAGTGGACCTAATGAATGGGACCTGGTAGACACAACTATCTTAATCCCCATTGATTTAAGGGTGGTTACTCTAAATTGAATGAGTATGGAATGTAACCCAATGCATTAAAATCTGATGTGACAAAAAAGGAAAAATACTTTAAACGCCAGCAAACTGACTCCATCAACACAGGGAGGTCAAGAGTACAGGGGAGCAGGTGGAGCTCAGTCTGGAAAATGTGGTCTTCTGGAGGTTGTGGACTACAGCTCCTAGCATTCCTCACCATTGTCTGCTCTGGGTAGGGCTGATGGGAATTGCAGTCCTGAAAACATTTGTATCTCCACATTTTGCCTACCCTGCTCTATATAGTTAGAAAACTGGCCTGAGTGATAGTGAGAGTAAAGTGTACCATAAAAAGATGAGAGTGTTACATCTGCAGACAATGGCAGCCAGTGTGGTATAGTTTCAGAGTGCTGGAACTAGGATCTGGAATCCAGGGTCTCAATGTCCACTCAGCCTGGGACTGTGTGACATGATACATGAAGACATGATACATGAAGTTCTATCAGGGTACTATCTACCCTTGGTGATGTAATTCTTCTCAGTGGTTTCAGAGCAGCTTTCACTTCACTTTTTAGAACTGCAGGTTCTTCATCATAGGATTCCTCTTCAAAGGAATCTGTTATCATGTAATCTGTACTATATAGGTCTTTGGTGTGCTCTTTCCACCTTCTCTTTGCCAACATTTGGTTCTGCTTTGTTTCCTACTTGTGTGCTCCAGTCACCTATGATTATTAGTATGTCTTGTTTTGGTGTGCAATCATTTTCATGCTGGGTGCTTGCATAGAAGCTGTCAAATTCATCTTCCCAGCAGTTGGAGCATAGGCTTGAAGGATGGTTATATTGATAGTTTTTCCCCAGAAATCTGATTGATATTATTTGCTAAACCTTTCACATTACAGTATAGCCCGTAACTCCCTGTGCTACATCTTCCCTCACTATTAGAGCCACTCCATTTTTTTTCTGAGTTTGTCATTTCCAGAGTGAAACACTCTGTAGTTGTCTGACTGAAAATATCCCATTCCAATCCACTTTATTTGCTTTAGTTGCTCTAGGTGTTTTCCCAAATGGCTGGTCTAGGACTTTGCTGAGTGAACAACCTTGGTGTACTAAAGGGAGGGGAAATTAAAATCAATTGAGCAGAAGCAGACAGCAGCTCTGATCACAGGCTACTCTCCTGTGCCCTCCTCTGCTTTGTATGCCAGAGCTGTTTCATGTGATCATCTCTGGTGGCAGTGATGGGAAGGTGGGGCTTCTTGTGAAGAGAATCCAGTGCCACATGTCTTCACCTCCCGCAATCCATGTCTTAGGTTCAACGTCCTGAACCCTCCTGCCCAATTTCTTCATAATTCTCCAAGGAGGGTGCACTCCCCATTTTTAGAAACTGTGGCTTATATCCTTATGAGTGTACAGTACCTGCATTCTAAGATTATTTATCTTAGAAGCTCCAACATCCTGCCTTCTGCTATGTTCCATGAGGCTGATAGGCATTAGCCACGTCAGTCCCTACTTAGGATATTCTTTCCTAGTAGAAAGGTTCCTAGTTGGCCGGATAACTCAGTGAGTTGGATAATTTGCTGTGGATCCATAGGTTGGGAGTTCCGTTTCCCACTCTGCCTCCTGGGAATAGAGTCAACCTGCATAGCCTTGGGCAACTACACAGTTCCAGGGTGTCCCCAGAAGAAGAGAATGGGAAATCACTTCTGAGTACTCTCTGCCTAGAATACCCTGAAGAAAGTCACCATAACTTGGTGATACATAGTTATTAATATACCCAATGTAGTGTAGTGTAGTGGATAGAGCAATGGATTAGGGCTCACCGGAGGTAGTGTGGAACCGGTAAAAATCACTCTTTAAATATCCACTTACTTTGAAGGCCTTCTTAGAGTGGCTGTAAATTGTTTCCAACTTGATGGCACACACACAAGGATAAATTCATCCATTGTCATTTTTTTAGAGGACACTTTGTTATTCTTGTGTTTTAGCTGGAAGGTTTTATTCTAGGTACTGTTTCATTTTTGCTCGTTTTATTTGGTTTTGGTTACATTTTAACTTCTCCACTGTTGTGACAGGTTTGTTTTAATTGGGTCTATTTTTGAATTTGTGGCATTTGTTATATTGACACTGTGTGATTGCTTTATACTATAAGCTGCCTTGGGGAAAGAGTGTTCTCCCAAGGTGGCTAAGAAATGCCTTATATAAATAAACATATGGGTCAAGAATGCAGCGTCCAAAGTCTTGGCACGCAGACAGAATGTGCACATTCTGCTTTGTTTTAGGTCGCAGCAGGACTTAGTCTGATAGGATGCCTGCTGTTTATGTAGCTATAAATGATTTGAATTTTCTGACTTTTAGGTATAAAGAATCATTTTTTACTCAGACAGGCTGCTTTTCACTAGGAAAAACCACACAAACTGCTTTTGACATCTTTTCATTCCAACTGTGCATGAATTACAGCACTACCAAAATACTTCCTTAGGAACCTATAAGGAAAACATTCTCCTCAACCTCCCTGCTGAGGTAGCAAGAGGTGGACCGAATGGCACTTGATGGCTGGAAGAAGCCCCCAACTGAGTCTAAGTGAGAACCACTTATGGTCACGCGGAGGCTCTTTGGTAAACGAGGGATTTTGAATGAAACTGAGTAGGGGAAAAGTGCAATCTATAGCATGAACAAATGCTGAATTGTGCTGATGTGAAGGGACAACATTTAACTTAGGCATTTCTTCTTGCATAAACACAGAATCCTTTCAAGAACAACAGGCCTTGGCTGGATATTGTCTTTTGTCACCAAACACATAAGTTGTGCTGTTTGGCTTTCAGGCTATTCTTTAGGTTTTCTTAAGTCCTTTGACACAACCTATGTCCATAACTTTGCACGACAGCAAAATGCTTCATTGGCCCAAGCGTCCTCTTAGGAGCACTGCCGTTGCCTGACTGCTGTGTTAATAGCTGGCTGACCCACACCCAGATTTACATAAAGCGTGCCTGGCATTTAAATGCAATTGCTTGAGAAATGATAATTACAGCAAAGAGTAAATCACAGTTCTTCCATACTTCTGCATAGGATGTTCAACAGTCACAGGCTGAGAATGTCATTAGAAAAGGTCTTAAACTCACGGCAGTCCGTTATTCTTATGACCTCAGCATAAAACCAGGTCAGGTGTTTTTTTAATGGATGTTTTTATAATGGGACTTGCATATTGTACGGTCTCATTACAGGATTTCCAAGGTAAGAAATGTTCAGTGGTGGTTCCTCTCAACCCATTAAGGTGTGTATCCTGGATGGAGTTATCTCTCTGTCTGTTCAATCTATATGCATAGCATGTCATATGGAAAGTAGGGGTTCCTCTCAACCCATTAAGGTGTGTATCCAGGATGGAATTATCTCTCTGTCTGTTCAATCTATGTCATGTCATATGGAAAGTAGGATTAGATTCAGATGAAGGAGGAGTGATAACTGGTGGAAGAAATATCAATAACAGACAAAACCCTAAATGGTTTGGGATCTTGATACCTGACAGAATACCTATTCCCAACTGGGACTGCCCAACCTACCCTCATATCCCAGGAAAGATCCTGACCCCGAGAGAGGCCTGGAGAAAGAAAACAAGAAATTGGGTCTTCTCTGCCACCTGCTTTTTGCCTGGCCCCTTCACGGGGGACTTCTAAGAAACAACTAAAAACCTGGTTATTCCAGCAGACCTTTCAAATTCAGTCACCCAAGGAGCCCACTGAAACTGAAGCCAACAGCTGATGATGTCATTCAAACCTGCCCCTTCAAATGTTTAGGTATTTTAGAATGTATTTTATACTGTCTGATATTGTTACATTTTATTTTATAATTGCATTGCATTTTGTGATTTTGTTTTTTACGTTGTGAACCACCCAGAGTGGCTGTTGGCCAGATAAGCGGCATAATTGCATTGCATTTTGTGATTTTGTTTTTTTACGTTGTGAACCGCCCAGAGTGGCTGTTGGCCAGATAAGCGGTATATAAAACAAACAAACAAATAAAATCTTACTTGCAAAAAGTGACAATGACCTGAAACAACCCAAACAAACAAACAAACAAATAAAAATAACATCTTACTGGCAAAAAGAGACAATGACCTGAAACAACTCTTGATGAAAGTGAAAGAAGAAAGTGCCAAAGCAGGACTGCAGTTGAACTTTAAGAGAAAAATCATGGCTAAAAGAACTGTTGTTATGTACCATGGTGCTGTTTGGGACTAAATCTACCATTTAAGGAAGGTAATTTTCTGCTGTCTGAAAAAGAACTGCAGTGCGGATTTATTCTCCTCCAACCACTAGGTAATTTTCACAGTGTACAGTAGTCTTAAGCAACTCTTTTATTTAGCACAAAAATGTAATTCTCAGGTTTTCATATGTAAGGACAACATTGCATCTCTATCCCAGTATGCATGACTAGGCGTAACCTGATACATCTGTTTAGCTACTATTACCACCCGAAATCTCCATCTTGTGACTGGATTTCATACTAGACCTCATTGCCACAACAATACCTGGATATATTTTGGGGCTTCCTGTTTCTTCATCTCTGCAGTTTTTAAAAATATCACCTACCTGATGAAGAGATCTGGAAAACTCAATACCTTACACCCTTTCCTAGAATTTTGATTGGTCTTAATAAAAGCATTGCCCACCTATGGATTAAAATGTAATTGAGATGGAGATGACAGGATGAGTCATATGAAGTGTGAATGTTTGTGTCACAATCCTTATCATTGTCAGTTTGTTTCCTTGTAGGTACTAATATGGTTAATGCAGGAAACATGAATGGTTCCGGAAATCTGATGGATTTTTTGGATGAACCTTTCCCTGATGTCGGAACTTACGAAGATTTTCATACCATTGACTGGTTAAGGGAAAAATCACGTGATACAGATAGACATAGGAAGGTAAGTGAAACAAATATTTCAGAAGCTGGTACATCAGTTCAAGTAATAAATTAAGTTTTCTACCATTCATAGATAACAATCTTTAAATGATTCCTGTGATAAAACCCCCTATTCAGGCATTACTCAATATGGTGCTGGGAACATGTGTAGTGGGGAACAATGCCTACCCCTGCCACTCTGTCATTTGCATTCTTCACAATAACACCACCGTGTTTGAAGGAGGCACTTTCCTGAATGTGTAGTTTCTACACATGATGAAGAACCTTGGAAAATGTGAGTTCACGCTTGCCCACAAGCAGGATCCTTCCCTTCAGACCTGGCCTTGTGACTGTGAAGAACATTTAAATGGAAGGGGTAGGCGAGGTGCTCTACATCAAGTATGTTCACAGTGTCAAGTTGTGCTATACCTGAATAGGATTAAATGTGCTATCTAATACTGTACGTGTACATGCTATCTAATACACTACTGTAAATATACAGTACTTCTAGTGGAATGTGAGGCCTTGAACTGGACATCCACTATATTTAAGTGAGATTTTTCCAAATAGCTTATCCTACATTGTGTTGTTATCTTGTCAGAGTAAAAACTTGAAGGAAATAACCATTCAGTTATTTTAAAAACCCTGCCAGTTTAAGTCCAGACCAAGTAGTATAAAGAAGCTAGGAAACTGGAAGCCAAGACAGATGACCTAATAGATGTGCTCTTTGATCAGGAATTTATATAATGGCTTGCCCTATGCTTATTTAAAAATTTAAATTATTTAAAAATCAATTAAAAACACTGATGTTTCGGCAGGCCTTCTCCTCAGCCAATTCCTAATCTTCCCTCTTTTTTCCTCTCTCCTAGTGTTTGTCCCATCTTGTCCACAGTTTTTCCCCTTATATAAAATTGTTTTAATTATATTGTATTACGCTTGTTGTAAGCCGCCTAGAGTGGTCTTAAGTGACTAGATAGGCGGGATATAATTAAAATAAATAAATAAATAAATAAATACTGACTGTCACACAGATCTTGGAGTACAATCTAATATTTAGCATCATCAATAGCAATCCTTATCACAGGAAGTATAATGCCAATCTGAAAGACAGACACAGCTAAGACTAGAATAGTTATCTATCTATCTATCTATCTATCTATCTATCTATCTATCTATCTATCTATCTATCTATCTATCTATCTATCTATCTATTTATTTATTTATTTGTTTGTTTGTTTGTTCGATTTATATCCCGCCCATCTGGTATATTCTACCACTCTGGGCGGTTTACAGAATGTCAAAACAATTAAAAAACATAAAAACACTAGCATACAACAATAACAAACAGTGCAGGAATAAATATATTTATTGTATTCCTTGGGCCCGTGTACTTTTCATTGGTCTTTCTGGCTCCTATCAAGATGAAAAGGCCTTCAAGCTTTCAAAAGAAAGCAAAGGAGAAACAAAAACATAGGAGAATGTAGGAGTTCGCTATCACGTACAGTATATCCAGTGCTAGTGAGAGATTGCTCTCTCTCTCTCTCCTTTCAGCCCTTATCCGCTGCTACACAATTGTAGCAACTGCGATGCAGCTGTAGCTCTGAGCTGACAATTCTCTGATCTCAGAGCTTTTTCTGGACAAATGCTGTTTGAGGGGCTTGGTTGCAGTTTCCTCCTCAATGGTCTTTTCTGGCTGGTGCATTTTATTGCCCCCTGGCTTCTCTTTCCTTTGTCACGTCCCCACTTCTGTTTTTCTTGGGTCAAATATTCCATGCAGAATCAGCGCTCCCCCTGCCCCCCTCAAAAGCCTCCTGAGTATTACCTATGGCAGCTGCTGTGGGCCAAAGGAGAGTTTTGCTCAAGGTATCCTCTCAGAGACATGTCAGTGGAAGGGGAATTAAAACTGCCTACAAGGACTTATCAGTGTAATAACAGACAATTTGACTTTCTAAGGTCACACTCCATAACTTAAACATTAGGCAATGCACACTAGCGTCTCACTGCAGCACTAGACACCAACTGTGACACCAAAGTTATCCTTTTCATAAGCAATAATTTTAAGAGCCATAATGGTGGAACTGAGATAATGTATTATTTTTATTTTGTGGCAATATAGCTGAAATTTATTTGCACTTGCCTGAACAAGAAGTTACACTTAGTCAGACCACATATCTGATTGCACACGCAATTGCACAAGAGTGCCTGCAGAACTGTTTGGTGGTTACAGTTTTGGCCTTTGTGCAAATTTCACAACCACTTGTGAAACTTCAAGTTGCACAGGTGCAGGGTTTGGGTAGTTTTTATTAAATGGCTTGGGTTGTTTTAATTAAAGGGCTACTCCTATGCCCCGTAACTATTGTACAGTATTGTCTGAAAATGAAATCCTATTAAGTATCAGATTCAATCAAGCCATCTAGGCTTATTTGTGCCTCTGTGTTTGGATTAAGATTCCATTTGGTCTTTATTCATTGTATGCTGTGCATATGCACAGATGTCATTTAACAAATGCAAATATAACTGGATCAGTTCTTCTTCCTTTTAAATTATACGAATGTATGGAACTGTGCTATGTAAAATGTAAGAACTGTATATGCTTCAACTTAAACAATACTACTTCTTCCAGATCACAAACAAAAGCAAGGAGTCAATATGGGAGTTCATCAAAAGTTTACTGGATGCCTGGTCAGGCTGGGTCGTGATGCTGCTGATAGGACTGCTTGCAGGTATTCTCTAGAAAGTGTTACTTGAGTAGCATAAACTTTCAGAACTTCACTCAGGGGGCATCTACTTCCACTGGATTTAGCAGTGTGATCCGTGACATTTCACTACGGATAAAATTCATGCTTTGGGATTCAGCTGTAATTTACGCTTTAGGATATACTGTATACTGTATGTAAAATCCCATGCTGAGCACTGACCTAGAAAATATATTACTAACAAAAAATGTGCTGCTGTCTCTTGCTATATAAAATACCCTTAAATAGAAATAACATGATAGGCTGGGTTATCTTTGATACAGATATTGTCCCTTTCCTTCTTTGAATAAAATACTAGTACAGATAATAGCTAAGTTAATTGACACACATGGAATCAAATCATGCATTCTGTATTTTTTTTTCTACTCATTTGTTCCCTCCTCTCTTTCACTAACTGAGGTATAGGCATCATCCTCATTTATAATTTTATTTTTAAAAGACTAAATCAAGTTGACTTTAATACCTGTTGCAGTGGCAGACATGAAATACTTTAATCTACTCACTTTCCAGAAAATGTGTTCATTTCCTATGCATTAGAATGGAGATCCTGTAACTGAATAATTTAAAATGGATCCAGATGGCCAGCAATTGCTGTTAAAAGGGTCAGGTTTTCCCCCTTGCCATGGTGATCACAATCGCAAAGGTTTGAAATGTATCTGCACCAATGTGTCAGTTTTACTGAAACAAAGGGGGAGGAGGTGATTTTGTTGAAGGAGATGGATATGTTAACAGAAACTGAACGCACGAACTATGCTTTGTTGCTTTTTGATTAGAGACTGTTTCAGTGCCCTAACATTAAGCTTGGCTTTTTTTAGATCAGCTGCCACACGGTGTCACTGTTGTGCTATATAAGTTGGAAAAGTGGTTAGATCTGACATAAAAAGAAAAAAAAATACTGTAAGGATGACATAAAATCAAACAAAAACGCCCAAGAGCCATTTAGGCTTCTGTCTGCCCTATATAAGTGAATCATAATTGTCCACCATATTTATTACTGAATTATTCCCTATTTTAAGAGTTGCACATTGAATATAACAGCCACAGTATGTCAGGTGCTTGCTTGTTCATCTGGTGACTTTATCATGAAATAAGGTCTCCTCACTAGCCCCCTACCAATGTTGACCTCCGTGATTTTGTTGGCATGTGGAGCAGTCTAGACAAGAATATATTTACTTCTGTCACAAAAAGATTCTTGTCTAGATGACTAAGTCTCGTCATGTTTGATTACGTGGGGTTGTTGTTTTGTAAATCTCAGCGGTGAGCCAGGAAAAGCAGATGGTATTTTTACCATTTACATCCCACACTAAATCATATGGGATGAGGGGGGAAAGAGAACATTTCTTATCTGTTTGACCAGGTCTCTCCCAACCCATGAACATGTGTGTGAAAGATACATTGTCTGGAAACTATCCTGTGGCTATGAGACAATTTTGTGGCTAGGCAGCCCTAAATTGCAGATACTTTCAGAGAACGGGATGTTGTAAGTTCTTACTTTATTCACCGCAGGGTGACTCAACGTGGAATGTGAATGTCACCTGTCCATAGGTTGACCCTTATTTATGAGACAACATCTATAAGAACCCTTTGTGGCCACTCTTTTCTTAAGACATGTACGTTACGTGTTTCTAGTAATGTTTGTTTTTCTTCCCTGTTAGGCACATTAGCCGGAGTTATAGATTTAGCTGTGGACTGGATGACGGATTTGAAGGAAGGTGTGTGTTTATCAGCATTTTGGTACAGCCATGAGCAATGCTGCTGGACCTCTAACGAGACAACCTTTGAGGATAGAGATAAATGTCCTCAGTGGCAAAAGTGGTCTGAACTTCTAGTTAACCAATCTGAGGTATGGTAGCCTTTTTTAAATGGAAACTGCATATTGTTCTTCCCTGCCCAGTTAACAAGGGGCTCCCATTTTAATGTGATCTACTAAACCTGAAAGGGACCCTGGTTATGAACTAAAAATGTGATTGTTGAAGAAAAGAAAATGTGTCAGCTTTCTTGTTAAAGTCATTATAGCCATTCAAACCTGAACTTGCAAAAAAAAGATACAGTCATTTATTGGGATCATTACTATTGGAGGAAGGTATGCAACAACTGATGCAGAAATCAAGATGGCAAAAATTATGTTCATTATTTTATTTGAGTTTCAAAAATTATTCTGTTCCTCCTTCAAGGAACTAAGTGCATGAAATACATTCATCCACTTAATCCTCATAATAACCCTGTGGCATGGGTCAGTTGGAGCGATAGCAACTGGCCAAAGTTTGCCCATTGAGTTTTATTGTTTAGTGGGGACTTGAATCTGGAACTTGAAAGCCTGGTCCTGTTCTCTTACCATGACACCATGTTGTGTCTTAGCTAGACCCCATAGGATGTGAGAATAGCCTTGTGTAAATGGAATTTCAGGACAATAAAAGAGTACTAAAGAAGTCTTTTTCATTCGCTACATATGTGGATGTCTGATGCTTGATGCAACTCCCACTTACTTGATGTAACTCATGCACACCTGGCCTTCTTTCGTGGGTTTTTGTGAAATGCTACTAGTGCTAAGGATAGCACTTTGACCATGTTATGTTGACAGTTCTTAGAGAGCTGTTTCTGAGATGTGATCTATTCAGACTCTTCTGCTCCTGATGAATTCTGCTTGTCACAGCTGATGGAATTCGACAATTTGAAGATATGTATGGGGATGGATATTTTACAGCTCCATTTACCCTGAGGTTTTGTGCGATTTTGTGGCTTCAGAACTCCTTACCACACTGCAATTATGAACTCTGACACCTGTCAAGATTATTTTAATTATCTTTTTTTTGTCTGAAAGGGGCACTTAAGCAGCTGTTTGATGTGAAAAAGACTGAAGCCTGTCCAACATCCTCTGTACCATGTTTCCTTTGTATATTTCTTCCTTCATAGTGATTGGAATTATTACTTGCACTGCTTATTACTGTATTTTTTGCACCATAAGACTCACTTTTTTCCCACAAAACAGGGGTGTGGAAAGTCTGTGCATCTTATGGAGCAAAGAAAACAGATTATATTTTCCTGTTTTCTTCTCCTAAAAAATTGGTGCGTCTTATGGAAAGGTGCGTCTTATGGAGCGAAAAATACGGTGTATTATTAGAATGCTTAAAGTTTTCTCATGGACGAGGAAAATTTGGCCCTCCAGATGTTTTGACCTAGAACTGTTATCAGTTCCACACCCAGCATGTAAAACAAGGAACCCACAGGTTCTGGGGAGCAGGATGAAAGCATCCACTCAATTACCATTTTGAAGGCTGTTTTCACATAATTAACATTACTCCGTTTCAGCCTACTGCATTGATAGTCAAAGATCACTTTTGTGCCACTTTACTTATCAAGACTGTGCTTGGGAGTTGAATGAGAGAAGGTATTTACCATATTTTTCAGTGTATAAAATGCTACTTTTCCCTAAAATCATTACACTAAAAATAGAGGGGTGTCTTATACACAGAAGTAAGCTGAGAACACGGAGAGAAAAGAACGACCAGTACCATGCCTCTGTAAACATGATTCATTCAGTCAGGAGGCTTAGCATCCTTAAGTCAGGAGATTTAGCTTCCTCCAACTACGAGCCTTACGGAACTGATGTCAGCTGGTACTGAATAAACCAATTGGAACACACCTCATTGGAGGTGGAGCCTGTAGGCCCAGATGCAACAGGGACTTGTAATTTCCAAGCATTCTGAGCCCAGAGGCTGAATACTCAAAACTAAGTTTTCTTAATTTTTGGGTTAGAAAAGTGTGTGGGTGGATCTTGTAACCAGGGATGTCTTATAAACAGAAAAATACAGTAATCCACCCATCCACTTTTTAATACAATCTTTTGTTTGGTAAATGTATAGCCAGAGCAAGTGGAAATGAAGTTTGAGCTGTCACTAGGTGGTATTATCATATCATATCAATGCATTGACATTGTTGAAATATGTAGCAACCCAACATGTTACCATATTTTTCTGTATATAAGATGATCCCCACTTTTCCAAACCCCAATAAGAAAATTTGATCGCTGCTTTCCCCCTCCACTTCCTAAGCCCTGCAAAAGCAGGATCAAAGGGCTACGGAAGTGGAGGGGGAAAGCAGTGATCTTAGGAAGTGGAGGTATAAAGCAGCGATTAAAGGGCTGCAGAATGAAAGGGCTGCGATCCTGCAGCCCTTTTATCGCTGCTTTACCCCTCCACTTCCTAAGCCCCGCGGAGCTTAGGAAGTGGTGAGGAAAGCAGCCATGAAAGAGCTGCAGGATCAAAGGGCTGCGATCCTGCAGCGCTTTGATTCCTTCCCCCCTTACTTCCGTATATAAGATGACCCTCAATTTTTAGTCTAAAGATTTTAGATAAAAGTATCATTTAATATATAGAAAAATATGGTATTTATGACAACCCAACTTCTTCATTTAATTCTTCTTAAGCAACCAATAAACAGCTCCCTTTCCTTCCTGTCACTAGGGGGCTTAACCATCTTTACTCTGAGGCAGGGTTTTTTTTCAGTTAGTAAAAGTCTAGCTGTTGTGTAGAGTTCTTTCCTCAGTCATGATTTAAACAGCCGAAATGATTTTTCTTTTGAATACTTATGACCCCATATTTCCATATCAAGTTTTTGAGCACGTAATTTTATAAGTAAATATTGTTTTCTTTTTTTAAACTGTTGTCTGACTGAATATCTTTGTTGATCTACTTATATAAGGGTTATTACCTCTGAACTGTGGTTAGTTTTAACCATAGTTTACTGAACCAAGCCAATTTCAAACTGAGGTTTACACAGTGGATTGTTTAAAATTAACCAAAGCTTTAACCAGAGTTAACTGAACATGCAAACAAAACGTTTCTGATGAAGGACTTTTGATGATACAACTCTCAAAACTGTAGTTTAGCTTTATAAGCAAACAGTTTTCTCTTGGCTGGACTTATCCCACAGAGCTGTTGTGTGGCAAAAATGCTCGGCATCCTTTACAGGAAGGATGAGATCTGGTTTTGTTTAGGCTGATGAAATACAGCTATTTTGTGCAAACTAAGCTCCATACTTTGGCAGCAAATATAATTCTTTTTTCACAATGGGGATATAGACAAACAATGCATTTAGACCTGGTGGCATCCTGAGACCTTTATTTTCAGAGTGAAGAAGGTAAATTCAAGCTAATTTCATACTATGTAGGACGTTAAGTAATTTACTCTAAAATGCATAATTTAAATTTATCTCAAAGATTTAAGGAGGCAAGTGGCACTAAAGAGCTTGTCTACATTTAGAGGACAAACCTCTTCTGCTAGGTCTTTTGAGAACCGAAATTTAAAGAGTGTCTCTCTTTTTTCTTCTGAAGCTATTCTCAATTCCCACTGATAATGGATCTCGATTTGCAAACAAAGTCCATCCTGTAAAGAAATAACTATTATTGCCATAGCTGTGTCTTATTTAAAGCGCTGGGTGAAAACATTCATGGGGAAATTTAAACAAACACTCTTCAGCTGTAGCAATAGAAATTACTCAAGGAATCAGTAAGTGTCAAAACAGAAGTGCAGTCTGTGAATCTTTTCTTTTGCTCTGATAAGCAAGTCCAGCTGTCAAAATGAATGAGAGTTACCCAGTCAATAATCATTGTGCATAAATAGGCAAGGAAAAATGGTGAGACTGGCATAAAACCTGTATCTGCAGCACTGATCCCTGTTTAGTATTTTGGTAGATCTCCCAAATTATTAAAGCTGCCCTGAACCTACACAAAATGCCACTGTGTTAACATCACTGCGGCTAAAAAATATTGTAAATAAATAAATAAATAAATAAAATGCCACTGTGCTAACATCATTTTAGCAGTTTCATAGAAGCGCTGTTCAGAAGTTCTTAAAGTGTGCCACACACACAGCGAGGCAGAGCATACTCTGTCATTGCTTTTGACATACAAAAGCGACAATCTTTAGAGGTTCTTCTGTCCAGGTAGACCTGGGTGAATGATGCTGGATAGGGCAGTGGTTTAGAGACTGGGGGTTCAATGCCTCACTGTGCCTCCTTGACAGGGATCCATAGGATCCCTTCCAGCTCTGGAGTTCTGAGATTATTATCTGAGGAGGGCCAAGGAGGCTAATTTGCATATTTATTAGTATGGTTACTATTGTTGTTAATGCAGCGGTTATATACTGTAAAGCTTAGGGATCTTTTGTTAAGTGAAAAATGAGTTTAAAAATATATTTTTGTCCAAACTCCCCCTTACACTCTCTAGTGGCTACATTTTAAAATATAAAATTTATTTTCATGGGGATGGGTGGCCCAGGGGTGCCAGGGCCCCTCAAAACATGACAATTAAGATCCACTACCTGAAAGTCACAAGGGGAGTTCTTGAGCAAAAAATTCAGAGGGCTATATGGTTGGGGCTGGGGACCCACCCCTGTGTGAGACAGAATTCCTTGTGTGAGACAGAATCCTGATCTCCCCCCCACACATACCCATTTCTGGCTTTGCAGGGAATCCTGTGTGCAGATAAAGCGTCCTGACGGAAATCACAAGGGGATTTCTTGAGCCAAAAGTCTGAAGGAAATATGAGAGGGGAAACTCTGAACTTACACGGATAAAGCAGACTCCCCTTCTGCAGACTATTGAAATTGAACTTTTGTGTTGAAAGTCATGATGGAAGGAGGTCTTAGCATGTTTTTTTTTTAAGCAGCCTGGTGTGGGCTAAATAGAGTTGCTTAGGGCTAGATAGAGGCGTGATATGCCACTTACAGTGGGGTAACAAACTCCCAGCCTCTGGCTCCACAGTCAGATACCTAACTATCCAAACTATACCTATTTTTTTTCTTTATATCGCTTGCTATTTACATTTCTTTTCCTGCTGCATTTTTGTATAATTCGCCCTCCTTCAGATGCCATGTACATAATGTATAGCTCAATTTGTACTTTTGAAAATAACATTGCGTAATATTTACTGCACTTGTTGTGTTATGAAGCTCAGTAAAGATACTCTGCCTCACATCGGCTCATGTTTATTGCAGTAGCTGGCAGAGGCCTGCCACTTGTTGGACTGAATTAACAGTATTATATTCTCTCCCCCCCCTTTCTTTTTCCCACTAGGGTGCAAGTGCTTACATTCTAAATTATTTTCTTTACATTTTGTGGGCTTTACTGTTTGCTTTCCTGGCTGTCTCCCTGGTCAGGGTATTTGCTCCCTACGCCTGCGGCTCTGGAATTCCAGAGGTAAGGGTTTTTTCCCCCTTTCTTTTTTTTCCTTTCTGGATTGATTTTGTATCGTGATGCTGGGCTTTTCTATCTTGCAGTGCTTTAGTTAAATTCAGAGATTTAAAAACCCCAGGGCTGGGCTGGGCTAGGGTGAGTCTGTTAAATGTAATGACATTGCACTAAAAATCAGGAAGCTTTTGACATTTAAAGTGGAAGGGTTGCTTTTAGAAACTTAATTTACACAACCCTTTGGAGAGTTACAGCAAGTCATCCTTTGAACGCTCCTGTCAGTTTTGGCCTTCCATCAGAGTGGCAAACCCTCGCTGTTGTTGTTCTTGCCTTCCAGATCAAGACCATTCTGAGTGGTTTCATTATTCGGGGCTATCTGGGCAAGTGGACTCTTTTAATCAAAACCGTCACTTTGGTTCTGGTGGTATCTTCGGGGCTCAGTCTGGGCAAAGAAGGGCCACTAGTTCATGTGGCTTGTTGCTGCGGCAACTTTTTCAGCAGCCTCTTCTCAAAGTACAGCAAAAACGAAGGAAAGAGACGAGAGGTACCCCATTGGTTTCTCCGTTTCCTCACTTCACCTTGTAAAATTCTCTATATGTTTTCCACAGACTCTTGATGCCTGTGTCAATATTTCCATGCTAGGTGCTTTCGGCAGCCGCGGCGGCAGGTGTCTCTGTGGCCTTTGGAGCACCAATAGGTGGCGTCCTTTTCAGTCTAGAAGAGGTAAGGAGCAGCTTCAGTTGTATTGCAAGCTTTGTAAAAAAAAAGGAAGGCAAGAATAGGAATGAATGATGGTACACAAACAGCTGCTGGTGTGGCACTGGATTGTCCTGCTTCACATAGTAATTTGCAGTGGTGAGTCTGAATAAATCTCCCTTATGATAGAAAAAGATAACTACATCCAGTAAAGTAGGCCGACAAGGAGAAAGAGATTTATTTCATGGTTTGTTTGTTTTTAAAGTAAACCTTGTGTTTCACATCTCCTCTGTTTGAGAGGCCTCACAACAATTGCAAACATCTCTGAAGTACAAATGGTGGCTCTGGCATCTAGTTTTCTATGTGCAGGGAGCTTTTTCATAAGGGAGAACACTGACACACAAGATACTATTTGAGGTTTGAAACTGTATGAGCTAAAAACCACTTTACTGTATGTGCAATTTGTATAGTCCCATAGACCTAAGTTGCAAGCTTGGAGGTACCCTGTGTCTTAAGCTACACCCCAGGCGAAACCCTCGTAGGGATGTTATATGAAGTACAATGAAAACATTTCGTAAAACATTGTTCAGGACTTGAACATGCGGTAGAGTGTTGAATTTTGGCTACATTCTCTCAGCTGTGCAACAGAACTGTGGGGACTTACAGACCAAAATTTGCTTCAAATCTCCCCAGCATAGACTACCTCTTTTATTGTCTCATCAACTGGCACTTACAATCTCCATAACTCTCTCTGAGACATTGGTAAGAGAAAGAATAAAAGGTTTTACAGTATTTACTTACAATGCTGAATAGTTAAAAAAAGAGACTGCTTACAGACCTCAACAGACTCAAATTTCCAGCAGACTCCTTCAGACTACATTCACATTCTAACTGCACTAACACATAACTGCACTAACTGCACATTTTCTGCTTGCTGCTAACCACACAATTGCCAGCAGACTAAAAAAGAAAGAGGGAAAAAGATATTTAAACAGAGAGGCATGCCTCTCTTCAAAAGCAGAAGCAGGGAAGAAAGGATTGGTTACTGCGGAACTGATTGACAGTCAACCCAGCCCAGAAAGGTCCCTCTGAGTGAAACCTGCTAGAAACAGCACGCGAGATTGAAATAACTCCAACAAAAAACCCCAGTAGGACACCACGTGTGTTGCGGAAAGGCAGTGTGGGACAGATAGGCAAAAATGCTCTATCCCCATTCAGGTGTTATTCCTGAAAATGGGGAGAGCTTTAAATGTTTGCACACAAGTACCTCCCTATATTTCATGTATTCAAGCACAAAGGTTTCAGAACAGCCTATAAGTGTGTTCACTTTGAAGCTCTCTGAGAACTGTAGGCTGAACACAAGGAAGTCTGAGTAATTTCCAAAAGGGATGGGGAGGAGGGGGCAGGGCTTACATGCCTCTGCACATCCTCACCACTCATTTAGCTCTATTTGGAATATGGACTGAAAATTTTTCACCTGTGTTACCAGACTGTTGTAAGGAATGATAATAATAATATTTCTGTGTTTATGGAGCCACCTTACAGGGTTTTGTAGGTTTGGAGCACTGAGAACTGGTTTACCAGTCCTTTCTTCCGGAGGTGCCCTGGGACAATACAGCTTGGCCAAGGTTACACAGGCCAGCTGCTTTCCCAGGAAGCACGGTGGGGAATTAAACTTCTGACCCCACAGACAGGAACTCAGCTCAGCAAGCTATCCAGAAATGCTGACAGAAAAGTGCTTTGAATCTAATTCAAGTGTGGGCAAGATCAGCTTTAAAATAAGGGGGGAAAGGATCCCAGAAAGATCAACCAAGATCTACGTGACATTTGGGGGTCCCGACTGTGGGTCCTGAAATTTTGTTGTACTCTCAAAATCACTGAAGCTCTTGTCAGAGCTTCTGGAAGCTGAAGCCCGGCATCATCATTTTTGGAAGCACTGTGCTAGCACCATCTGGGGAGCAAGGCCAGATACAAAATGGGAGTTTGGAGAGCAGAACCAATTCTGTTTGCACTGTATGAACTATACAATGTTCTGGATAGGAACCTGAATGAGGAGAACTATGATAGAGCAGGCATTTTAACATGCTAGTTTGGCAAGGATGAGAAGGACAAGGAAGAAGACAGTCCCCTTCTTGCTGCTGCTGTTAGAAATCAAGAGCTCGAAACCAGTGCCAATCTGATTCAAATCATGCAGCAATCTATCAGTTGACCCACGTAACTTCCAGATTCTGCAAGGAGAATCTCTCAGAATTGACGGAATTATTACATAATCATATATTGATGGCTTTCTATAGTAGGGGACTTATCTATAAGGTAAGTGGGCCAGCAGTTTCAATTTATGTCCTGACACTGGGACTACTGCTGCTGCTCAGCTGTTCTTATCCTAGCCCCCTTTCAAAGTCTGGGAATTTTTTCCCCCCCTACTGCAACAGGTTTTCATGGAGCCACGTACGCACACTGAAATTAATATTCTGTAATTCTCTTTCATTTGACACTCTGTGATCTTCTCCAGAATTTGAGGCCATTTTTAACTCCTGGTGGTAAACATGTGCCACATGCCTCTCAAGGGAACACATTTTGAAGTAATGGAGATGGACATGTTCTAAAGTCCTATTTTAGCTTATGCTGCATGATAACGAATGGAAGCGCTCTGGGTGTTATTGATTGTTTCCGATTTCTCTTAGGTGAGCTATTACTTTCCCTTGAAGACTCTCTGGAGATCTTTTTTTGCTGCCCTTGTTGCCGCCTTTACCCTGAGATCTATCAACCCATTTGGAAACAGCCGCCTGGTTCTTTTTTATGTGGAGTATCACACGCCTTGGTACATGGCAGAACTTTTCCCCTTTATTCTGCTTGGTGTTTTTGGAGGCTTGTGGGGGACACTGTTCATCCGATGCAACATTGCTTGGTGCAGGAGGCGGAAGACCACCAGGTTAGGGAAGTACCCAGTCTTAGAGGTCATTGCAGTGACTGCTATCACAGCTATCATTGCCTATCCAAATCCCTACACAAGGAGGAGCACCAGCGAGCTCATCTCAGAACTGTTCAATGACTGTGGCGCTCTGGAGTCCTCACAGCTCTGCGACTACATCAACGATCCCAATATGACGAGGCCTGTGGATGACATTCCTGACAGACCAGCTGGCATTGGAGTATACATGGCTATGTGGCAGCTAGCCCTGGCTCTGGTTTTCAAAATCATCATCACAATATTTACCTTTGGCATGAAGGTATGTTGCAGGGCTGTGTGTGTAGCAAAACAATTTTTAATGCATTCTGGATTCTTGTTGTATACCAGTCATAATGCAAACAAAACTAGGAAGAATTGGAAGAGTAGTGTGCCTGTAGCTGAAGGCCAGATTTGGCATTATACAGAGCTCATTGTTAAAAGCAAAAACCTATCACTGTGCCAGAGACATGAATCAAGCAGACATTTGTGACTGAATAATCATCCTTTGAGGTGAACCCTCAAAGCATGCTTGCATCCCATGGAGCAGTTGCAAAACAAAACAAACTAATTTGCATACTTGCAGGATGAGCCAAAGGCCCCTCTTGTGACAATCAGATATTCGCAGTATGTAATGAATTCGTTTCTCTTATAATGAGTCATCTATAACCTAGAGTTTTGCCCTCAGTGCTAGAGCGTGCACTTTGCATACATGAGATTAGAGCAAAAGGGACTGAGGAGGAAAATGATATAAGCAGAAAAGGTGAGTGTGTATGTGTGTTTGGAAACTGGGGACTAGTAATATGTCACTATTTCCCCCTCCCCTCCAAAAAAAGTCCTAAAGAGAGGTAGGTTTCTTAAAGATAGAAATGAAAACTCTATAGGAGAAGTCTGATTTCCTAAAGAGAAGTTTGGGTGCAAATCTCACTAAACTCATGCTGTTTTGGCATGAAGCCACAGGAAACAAGGCAGTACAAATGTTGCATCTGCAAGAGCCCGAGTCCCTCTACTTGCCTTCTCTTGCATAACACTTCTGTTTCATAACATACTTAGTACACTAAAGGCTAGGTTGTGTTAAATCAGCTTCATGTAATCCTTGGGTTTGTAAAGTTTGCGGTGTTCTGTCAGCTGCCTTATAGTCATTGAGCACAAGGACCTTTAGCACTAGCTGGCAGCTGCTCTTCAGGGTCTGAAGCAAGATTGTCTCCCAGCCCCACTCAGAGATAACATAGGTTGCATCTGGGACTTTCTGTATGCAGACTGTGCGTGCTGCTACTGAGCTATGGCCCAGTGGTGGTACTGAGCTTTTTTCCTGATCTTCTGACTGAGCTGCAGGGGTAATCTATGGACATATAACCATAGCCCCCAAATAATGTAATAGGAGCAACTCAGTGCCTCCCTATTTGTTGTAACAATGGAATTCTTGAAGTGGCAGGATTCTGGCAAGCAAAATGTTCCCCTTTGTCTAGGCTCACAGACCGACTGCTTAAACCTTTCTAAAACCCCAAGACTGAAATGAGAACTTACGAGCTGCTGACAGGAAGTAGAGCTGTTGCATTTACTGACCAATATTAAATGGCATCCCAATCAGCTTGTCACGCCATTGGCAAAACTACACTGGAAGTATTTTAATTTTATTTTGGGTGTTGTCCAAAGGCTGGAAAGTCTTGGCAGACGGTGAGGTTGGATGGAGCTATTCTAAATGCCTGAACTGTTGACAGTGCATGAGGTCTCCAATATGCGCTGGCAGCTCTTTGACATGATTGGTCACGGTCTTTTAAAGAGTTTCTTTTTTGTCATTTGCCTTCAAACGAAGCTGCCATTTTCAGCTTGAATAAATTTGTAGTGCAAGCATTAGACATGCTTGAATACCCATGAGAAATTGTGGCATCTGGTGCTCTCATAATTTAGTGGGTGTAGAAAATTTAACTTGGCCTCGTCTTTGCCTTTGTTACCCAATGTCACCAACACCAAAGTATGTTTAAAAATGCTAATACCAACACCCAGGTTCTGCTTTCATAGGGTTATCTTTTTTAAAAAAAAGAGAATGATTCTGTAACAGTTTCTTCCTATATAACTATTACGTTTTATATTTTGATGTCAAAAAGTCATTTCACAACAATGAGCTGTTTTGCTAGAATTTAGTTATGTATGAGTTTGAGGTAATTTATGGGCCACTTTTTAAAATTAGGGCAAACAACCTTCCAAAGCATCATCACAAGAAATAATATATAAGGTTCTTTTTTTAAAATCTATATTGAAAGAACGCGGCAACAACAATAAAATAACAATAAAGGTCTTTCCCTAGAAACACATAATTCAATATAGTACCATCCCACCACTGTATCAAAGTGAAAGTACAGGCCACTAAACTACATTTGAAACATTGCTACAAGCATGTCAACCATCAAAGACTGACATGAAAGCTAGTGGGAAATAAGTCTTGTCATTCTTATTAACATAAAAAAATAAACTGAAACTATGTGTTGAAAAATGGTATTTTGGGAATGTGGTTGCTTCAGTAATTTGAACAAATATGTTAAATTTTCTATTAGAGTAATATGCCATATTTTGTTTCTCCATGCAGATAAAGGTAAATTACAAGTTCCCTTCCAGTTTGTGGGAATTTCCAAGCATGCTACCATACAGAAAAAGATAATCAGCTGTTTATGAATTAATAATGATAATGTGAATAATGTGCTGTCCAATCAATTCTGATTTATGGCAACGTTTTCAGGGTTTTCTAGGCAGAGAGTTTTCAGAGGCAGTTTACCATTGCCTTCTTTGGGGGGCATCTTGGGACTCTGCACTTCGGCCAAGGCCCTGCAAGCTGGTTTTTCTCCCTGGAGGCACAGTGGGGGAATCAAACTCCAACCTGTGACTCTGAGCCAGATACATACAGTAACTTCATGAACTATCCAGCCAGCTTATAATCATTGTGAGCTGTCAAGGCAATTCTGACTTACGACAACTGCTGTTTGTTATTGCCTGAAAATGACAGAAGAGCTACATCTGGAAACCTTATAATTTTTGCCCCTGTGATTCATTCTATTTCTATAAGAATTCTTAACAACTGGATTGGAGGGCAAGTCCACCATATATGAAAGTATGTACTGATATTCTTACATTTCTTCCGACAGGTTGAACTGACTTCTTAATTGATATAACTCAAATGGAGTGGTGTAAAATATCACCTGTGCAGAAGTTCAATACAGTACTCCTTAAATTTGGAAGAGATTGATCTAAGAGGATCCTTGTTCTATAGAACTGGCCATTTTACATCAGATATGCTTATCCTCAAATCACTTTACCAAACCATTTTGGGGCCTAATTTACAGCCATTGTGGGATTCAATTAATATTTCATACAGTTTTGAAGCCAGCTGCCACTGGATATTTTCTAAGGATTGTAGCAATGTTTCAAATGCAGTTTAGTGGCCTGTACTTTCACTATTTGAAGGAGAAAAAAATGAACCACTTGCAATATAAGAAACCAAGAGACAGTACTTGCTTGATTTAAAATTTGCTCCCCTGATCTGGGACTAGAACTATTATTCACTGAAATTATGCACATGCCTTTTGCGCTCCCAGCAGGAGAGATCAGCAATACAGGGGGGAATCTGTGCAGGGGATAGAAGCTTGCTTTCACTTCCCCTGTCTTAGAGATCCTGTCTCAAGTACAAAAAGCTAAGCCACATGACAAGGAAACAGCTCTTGAGTTATGCTGTGGTAATTAGTTAGTTAGTTAGTTAGTTAGTTAGTTAGTTAGTAAGTAAGTAAGTAAGTAAGTAAGTAAGTAAGTAAGTAAGTAAGTAAATAAA